ATTAAAAAGTTTCAGAATGCTGTGTCTCAGAATTAATTATTCTCTCCTTTTGTTTAATCACTTGCCTATCATAGAAGGTGCTCAATTCAAAAGAAGGATATATATACATTCCTCACTCAAAGGTATTTTTTTTCCATTGATTTTTAGACATAGTGGAAAGGAGGTATCAGGCTGGGGATCAAACCTGAGACCGAGGTACATGCACTTGACCTGGAATCAAACCTGAGACCTCTTGGTCTTTGGCTGACAATCTAACCAATGAGCAAAACCGGCCAGGGCAGGACATACATTCTTGCTTTCATACAGCTTTCACACTTAAGAAAAGTATTAACTTGCTCTACTTGCCACCTTTAACAGAGGAATTAAAATCATTTTATGAAACAAATTATGAGTAGATTCTATTTCATTCAAAAGACTAGTTATCTAAAATAAAAACAGTTTTAACTGTTCCTGATAGTTTTCCTTCATTTTTTTTTTTTTTTGACACTAGCCAGCAGAGATTATAGTTGCCACAGAGTGATGCAAAGTTATTAAAATGTATGTAAAATGTCAGGGCCCTTACTCAATGTAATTTCCAAAATTGTGAAAGTCCATTACTTGGAAAACACTAAGTACAAACATAGATAAGTAAATTCTGTTTCTAAATTTTCTTAAGAGTTGAGATTAGTGTTTTCAAAACAATCTTTAAAGTTTTCTGAATGTGTGCTTGGTTTCATAAGATAGTTAATATCAGATTAAAAAACTGGCTATTATCATTTTTATTTCAGGAGAAAATTCAAGAAGAAACTATCTGATTGACTTGCACTTTAAATTGTATGTATATGTACCTATCTACTTACATATGCATTCAGAAAAATAGAGCATTTGGTTATTGTGTGATACAATATTTTGTCCACTAGATGGATCTCACTTTCATATTTTTCAAAATAAGACACCCATTTTTCTGTATTCATTCTGGTTGACCTCATGGAGCTACATGCTGGAGTTAAAAACAATACCTAACTAATAAGTACTCTTCAAATTACCAAGGTCACAAATGAACAAAAAAAGAAAACAAACAAAAACAAGTTTAAGTAAGTGTCCTAAATATAACTAAGGATAAATTAAATAAGTATATGCAATGCGGGAGCCTGTGTCCAATCCTGGGACAGAAATAAAGAAATTAGTGACAAAGTTGGTGACATTTAAATGCCTGGATTTTAGTTACTAGTGTTATATGAATATTAATTTTTTGTTTTTGATAATTATACCATAGTTATGTAAAGTTTTATCATTAATGAAGTTACAATGAAGAATATGAAGAAACTATTATTTTTATAAGTTGTTTTAATAAATTTACAACTATTTAAAAGTAAGATGTTTTTAAAAGTCAATGTTATAGAGTTGAAGTGAATAATAAATTAGGAAAAATAATTATCAGTAGTACTACAACTGTGTTAACAAAAAAGAGAAAAGGCTCAACAAATGAGATGCTAGAAAATGTGTAGATTGTGTTTTTTTTAAATCCTGAGAAACATGATAATTAATTATTTATTTATTTATTTATTTATTTATTTATTTATTTATTATTTATGATGTAATTCTAGTAAAGATTAAGAAATGTTGGTCTGGTCCACCAAAACAGAAGTAATTAGTTGATGAAAATAAGGTAAAATAGGTATGCTTCACACAGATTTTTTCTCATATAATTTTCTAATTTTGAATTTTTTCTTTTTAAATTGAATTATTCCTCAGTTAGTATAGACATCTATTTTTTTCCAGAAAATACATATGAGTAGTATATTTTCTGAACTTGTGATTATCTGAAAACTAATTATTCTTGCATTTTTAAGTAAATGGCTTAATCAATTTATAATTATCAGGCCACACCATATCGTCCTCAAATTTGTAAGGTACTCTTGTAGTTACCTATTTTATTTTTCTTTCTCTTAGAAACTGTTAGAGTTCTATCTTTGTCATAGAGATTTAAAGTGTTACAAGATTATATTAGGTATATGACTTTTATTACTATTACTAGAGGCCCGGTGCACAAAATTCATGCAAGGGAGGGGGGGGTATGTCCCTCAGCCCAGCCTGCACCCTGTCCAATCTGGGGCTCCTCGAGGAATGTCTAACTGCCCGTTTAGGCAGTGGGATCAGGTCTAAACAGGAAGTTGGACATCCCTCTCACAATCCAGGACTGCTGGCTCCCAACTGTTCACCTGCCTGCTTGATTGTTCCTAACCGCTTCTGCCTGCCAGCCTGATCACCCCCTAACAAATCCCCTGCCAGCCCGATTGATGCCTAAATGCTCCCCTGCTGGCCCAATTGTCCCGAACTGCCTTCCCCTGCCGACCTGGTTGCCCCTAACTATCCTCCATTGCAGGCCTGGTCACCCCAAACTGCCCTCCCTCACCAGCCTGGTTGCTTCTAACTGCCCTCCCCTGCTGGCCTGGTTAGCCCTAACTGTCCTCCCCTGCTGGCTTGGTTGCCCCCAACTGCCCTCCCTTTCAGGCCTGGTTGCCCCCAACTTCCCTCCCCAGCAGGCCTGGTTGCCCCCAACTGCCCTCCCCTGCAGGCCTGATTCCTCTCAACTTCCCTCCCCTGCAGGCCATCTTGTGTCCACATGGGGGCAGCCATCTTGTGTGTTGGAGTGATGGTCAATTTGCATATTACCTCTTTATTATATAGGATCATTCCTTGATACATATTATTAATGGACAGTTTATTCTCTAGATACATGCTTTTATTCAACACAGAGGAGTGTCATTCCATACAGTACTTCTGTTGCGTATGTTTTTCTCTGGTTTATTCTTTGAAAATAATTCTTTATATGTAGGATCCATATTCTCTATCCTTCACATCTAGTAATATGTGATCCCTTCCTTTCTTCCTTCATTTCTTCCTACCTTCTCTCCCTCTCAGCCGCCTCCCTCCCTCTTTCCCTCTGTGTGTGTGTGTGTGTTGGTATTCTTATTCCTAAGTTCTGCGTTATTTTATAATTTTTCTCTACTATTACTGATTTAGATTTTTTATTTATTTGACTACTTTACATGCAGATTTTAATTTGGCTATTACATTTTTAACTATTGTATTAGGAGTATCACAATTGTCCCTAAAGAAGACTATATTATCTGAGGTGGCCAAAGTTCCGTGTTTCTTAACTTGCTTTAAACTTCATTGGTAACATTTCCTAGATTCTTTTGAAAATTCAAACTACCTGTATGTAACAGAACTAGGGATAGATATAGATACTTTAATCAGAATATCAATAGATTGCAAAGTTATTAGTAGTTAGAAAGATGGGTAGAAGTTTCAAACTATACCACATGAGAATGAAAGAGGTTTAAGAATAAAAAGGAAATCTGTTTAGTATTGAAAAAACCAAGATGGCGGCATAGGTAAACACCTGAAATTGCTGCCTCACACAACCACTTCAAAAATACAACTAAAAGACAAAACAGACATCATCCAGAACCATAGGAAGGCTGGCTGAGTGGAAATTCTACAACTAGAAGGAAAGAGAAAAGCACACTGAGACTCAGAGGAGGCGCAGAAGTAAAGTGCAGAGGTATGGAGGCACACGCGGAAAGGGCTGGCAACTGAGGGCACGGTTGTCTTTTTCAATTGGGAGGGAGTCTCAAGCTCCCGACAGCTCTGAACTCCAGTTCTGGGAGAGTCTCTGGGCACCCAGACTCATACGGGGAAAAACTGGACTGTCTGGCATCGGGCAGAACTCGAGGGCAGCTTTCTCTCAGAGGTGCTGGCAGCGATTACCTCAGCAATTACTGAGAACTGGGGCCTCTTAGGGCAGGGCTGAGGATCAGCCATAGCTGTTTGCTCCGCCCTATTGATTCCCTGTATTAGGTTGATCTGCTATGTCTTCCAGTCTTGGTAAGGTGGTCTTATGCAGTAGGTGTCATGTGGGGCCCAGTGGTACAATCTCCTGATATCTGAGCCAGGTGTATCAGGAATGTCCCTTGTGTGGGTTCTATGTGCGCTTCTGCAGTAATTGAGCCTTGATTGCTGCTGGCACATCTGTGGATGGGGTTGACCTTCAGGCTGGCTGGGTGTGAGGATAGGCCATGGGCACAGTGCTGTGCAATGGTTGACCCGACAAAGTGGAATTTGTCTAAGCAGTTTCTGGTGCCTGCTGGGACCTACCTTTGAATATGACATTTATAGAGCTAATCAGGTGGTACTCTGTATAGTCTACAGCCAGTCACTTGATATGCTGGTTTTGGGGTCTCTTGGGAGAGACTCTAGTGCAGGTTAGTGTCAAATATTGCCTGTGTCTGGCCATAAGCCACTTGTTAATAGCTATAAAGCAAGAAATTATTGGTAGATGCTAATGCTGGGCCTGGGTGCATGTGAGAGAGGCCAAGCTGCAATGAAGGCTGACTGCCATCACTACCCAGCCTGGGACAGGTCAGCAAAAGGCCAAGGCACCCCAGGCCCACTGTGCCTGCTGGCTGCCAATTAGGCTCAGCCACTGAAAAGGCCCTATGAGTTGCATGAGACAGGTTCTCAGGGAGCCACCAGGTAAGGGCAAGTTGGTTCACCAGGTTAACACAGATTCAAGTTTGTCACCAGTGCTGGTTCTGAGGCCACTCAACAAATATTTCAAGATATACTGAGCCTGCCTGTATCTGTGTGGGGCCTGGAGTTCTTTGTGGTGGGAAGGAGTCAACAGGGTGGAGCTAGTAGAGCTCATCAGGCTAAAACAGATGAAGATTCGGCCAGTGGCGGGAGGGCTTCACACCAGAAAGATAGTGTCTGTGGGGCTTTAGGAAGATGGCCCTCATCCTCAAGCCTCAGAACTCAGTTTCTCCCTTTGTGTCTCTAGAACCTTCAAGCTCACCTGGAACACTTCAGGAGTTTTTTAGAAAGACGGCACAACGGGCCCAGGCTGGTTACCTCTGGCACAGTTACAGCCCAGCTCAGTACATAGGGTGGGGCCTCTGAGAGATGTCAGGGTGGGGCCAGTGAAACTCAATAAGCTAATGCTCTGAAGGGGGAAATCCTCTAACCAGGAAAGATGCCATCCTTGTCGGTACAGCAGAGGAACTCAACACAGAGACATTGTGACTATCCCTCCAGCCCTCTCATGGAAGCCACACAACTAGTCTCTCCTGTATGACTTTGGCACCCTCTGAGCCACTGTCCCTCTGACGGAGTCCAAGGTGAATGCCTACAGGTGAGAGTTTGTGCTTGGGGCCTTTAGAAAAAGCTTGGGTTTCCAGCAGCCTTCTGTCTCACCCGGGTAGACAGAATCCCTGCTGGATTTCACAGCCAGATGTTACATGGGCTCCTCTTCCTGGCACTGGTGCCCTGGGCTGGGGAAGCATTGCTCCTCAGGAGAGACCTCTGCAGCCATGATACCCCTCCAGCTTATCAACCGCCACATGTGGGAGTGAGCCAGCCCTTTTCATGTCTCTATCCTTCCTATCAGTCTCCATGCGGCTCCTTTTGTGTATCCTCAGTTATAAGACTTCTGTTGAGCTCATCTTCAGATGGTTATCCAGGTTGATTGCTTTATAATTTAGTTGTAATTTTGATGTGGCCATGGGAGGAGGTAAATCCAGCTTCCACCGACTTTGTCATCTTGGACTGAATCTCTGTAAAGCTTTTCACTTGATGAGAAGTTTTATTGAAAGTCAGTCACTGAGAAGGTCCATTAGATTTGACAAAATTGTGATTAACTGGTGATTTTCTAGTATAAATTCAGTGGAGTGATAGAAACATTGGTAAGACTGAAGAGTTGTTTGGATGGAAACTCTGACTTTTCAATCTCTCTTTAGATATTTTAAAGTCTTAAATAATAATTAATGAAAGCTTAGCATATCCAAGGGCCATGGTAAATATTTGCTTTAAAATTAGGAGCAATAAAACCTTTTCATTTTAGGGTCTTTTTCCATTTTAAAATTGAAAATACATAGCTTATACCATACCTTCATTTTAAATATACACACATTCACATCTGGAAACATGATGGCCAATATCTGAATGAACTAAAAACAGACAAAAAGCTGCATTTTCCTATATTTGACCAACTAAGTTTGCTTTGTTTATATTTTGCTAATGAAATGTTCACTTAGATGTATGGCCCTGATGTAACATAAAAGAAATACAAATTTACTAATTATAAAGCAATATATTTTTGCATAATAAATAGAACATCACTTAAATTTCAGTATTTACTATTTATTAGACCTCCAATTTATGCAGGATCTCTTACCTTTAATTTACCTTTTAACTTTATTTGCATAATAATCCTATAAGTACAAAATGAAACTTGATGAGGAACAGAATTAGAGGGACATCAAGTGAAATTGTTTTTAAATTAGGAAATGTCATTGCATAAAAGTTTGTTTTGTAAAACAATGATGGCAAGAGCCACTCTTATTAGGGTCTGCGAGCATTCAGGTCACGTTGTTTTCAGGATTATTTGAGATCCTTCTATTTGAATAGTCTTGGCCTGTGGTAAAAGTCTTTAGTCTTCCTCTGTGTACATTAGAGGGATGCTTAGCAACCTTGTGGTTGCAATATTTCTGAAACTCTTGGTTCACTTTCAGTGAATATCAATTCAAACAACTTCGGTCTTGAAAAGGTTGACATAGCTTTGCATTGAGAACAAGACCAACATATGCCTTCCTGGTATACCCTTCCTTCTCTCTTTTCCCTACTCACTTCCTTTTGCAATATCTACCTAGATTCCTGGAGCAAAGATAAGCAGCCTCAAAGAGTCATCCCTGTATACTCTACCCTTCTCAGTGGTCTGAAAGGGCCTGGCTTCCTGTTGTATTTGGAGCATTCCTGGAGATGTTTCTACCCAGTCCTTTCAGCTGATTCAGGGGAATCAGAGAGCCAATCCTTTCTTTAGGGTTCTTATTTGACTAATGGCAATTGGAGCTTTACCGCTATAGCATATAATAAACAATAAAGACTTTGGATAAAGAAGAGAGACACTGCCAAAATTTTGACTCACTAAATAATTGAAGAGTGGGTAAATTTTATTTAAGGCATAGTTGGAAGAAAAAAAAAAGTTGTAACAGGATAAAATCCCCTAAAACTGTTTCCCAGAAGCCTCCAAATCTTTATTTAAACATTTGCTAAGGAAAGGAACGGTGGTAGAGTAGCAGAAGCATCAAAGTGACAATGAAAGGCCAGATTAGCCAAGATCTTTGTTTGACTTTGGGCAAATCACTTCTCTGGTTTGAGTTTTCATAATCAATAAAATGAGAACGTTCTACTAAATGACCCCAGGGTTTCCATTCAGTGCTTATATTCAAATATTCATCCCAACCCTCTGGACAAATGTTAGAGGTTTGCTCTCAATATCTGTCTGGTGAGAATATTGCTCATAATAATTTCAATAACTCACTGATGTCAACCTAAAGAACAGGTTTTAAAAAATAGCTCCCCATGGTATTTTAATACAACTCTTACCCTCAATATTACTTTATTGAATGTTAGCACAGATATGCAATAAGGTAGGAGAATTTGTTTTAACTTCTGGAATATAATAGTTTCAATTACCTTAAATTACATATCTAATGTGTTTAAAAGGTAAAGGATATTTAGTTTCCTCTCTCGAGTGTCACTTACTTTTCTATCAAATATCATTACATTGTAATAGTAGAGAGTAAAGAAAGATGTTTCTTTTTAAAGCATTAAAGTTTTAAGGTAGGAGAGTGATGTCATCAGGGTTTTAGGATTAAACAGCAAATAAATGATTAAGTAAAAAAATGCTTTTAATTGTATTAAGTGTCTATATGAAGTAAAGGAAAACATTTTATCAAACACAAAATGGATGGATTTCTCATTTGCAATATGCTAATGCTATGTAAGACATAGTGGCTTACATAATAAATCTTTTCAAGTAGTGCTGCTGTAAAATGTGTATAATGTGACTTTTTAAAAACAGTCTAAATTAACAAGATGCATGGAATTGGTTTATGAAATCATTCAGATATGTATGTGTTTAGCCTACATATCAGTGCAACATTCTTCCTTTGGGCACTTTAAAAGGGGATAGGCTGCAGCTATTAAAACATGTTACAGTCACTCCATAACATTCTCTGCTGAAAAGCTGTTGTCTTGAGAGGTCTCCTGCTGTGCTGTTAATAACAGTAGGATCTTAAGTGGAGCTATTACCTCCACTCTATAAATCACAATTGTTTTTAATCAAAGAATGTTAAAAAGAGCTAGTTGCCACTAAGGGATTATTAAGGTTTAAAGGGACTACTTTGCTGGGCCAGCGTGGCTCAGTGGTTGAGCGTGGACCTCTGAACCAGGAGATCACGGTTCAATTCCTGGTCAGGGCACAGCCCAGGTTATGGGCTTGATCCCCAGTGTGGGGCCTGCAGGAGGCGGCCAATCAATGATTCTTTCTCATCATTAATGTTTCTATCTCTCCCTCCTTCTTCTTTGAAATCAATTATATATATATATATATATATATATATTTTAAAACAGGGCTATTTTATGCAGTGAGATTTAGGGTAGATATAGTCATAATTTTTTCAGGCAAAGACTTGGTTCATAAATCATACTGGGGGAAATTCCATTAGCAAAGGTATAGCAGAATTATTCTACATGCACAAAAGGGGGAAAATACACAATCTTGAGCACAATGCAGGTCCCGTAATAGCACTTCTACCATGTGCATGTGTATCACAAAGTTCAATTCCAGAATCTTGAGAGCACATGCGAAGAAAGAGTTCTGGGGAGGGAGGCACTGCCTATTTATCAATTCCATCTTTGGAGACTTTTAGTAAATTTCAATTTCCTCACTTTTTTTTTAATTTCAAAATATATCACACCTTTATGTGGTAGTTATTGTATTATTAGTGTCAATGAATTATAAAAACACATAAAGCTAAACATAAAATCAGAGACTCTTACAAAACGAGTTTCAATCATGGCAGCATTTGCACACTAAAATATTGTAAGTAAATGTGTGAGATATGTATGTGAGACAAAGTTGATTCCATCTCGAGGCAATTGCTGGCACATTTATGGATTTGCAGATGTCAGGGAGGCATAGTTCATTTCAAACTTCCTGCACTGTGATAGGCTCAGTGGATGAGATTCCTGTTAGTATATGCTGTGGAGTATTAGACATATTAAGTAGGGCCATAGTCGTTTCAGGTGAGCCATTATGAAAGCAGTTAATAGATTATGTCAATAATGAAAACAGCTATTTAGCCCTAAGCAGTTTGACTCAGTGGATAGAGCCTCGGCCTGCGGACTGAAGGGTCTCGGGTTCAATTCTGGTCAAGAGCATGTACCTTGGTTGCGGGCTCATCCCCAATAGGGGATATGCAGGAAGCAGCTGATCGATGTTTCTAACTTTCTATCCTCCCTTCCTCTCTGTAAAAAATCAATAAAATATATTTAAAAAAAAACAAAAAACAAACAAACAGCTATTTAAAGATTCCACCAATATTGTGAGTGATTCACAATTTTGGTTCAGTGGCTAAAATACCACCCCTCAGGCTAAAAATTAAAAAAAAAATAAAAAAGCCTAATAATGCAGCCTATGAAACAGATGCATTTTGTAGCTACTCTTGAATCTGCTATAATTTTTGAGAGTTAATCATACAATTTGTAATTTTCAATATTTGAAATGTGACTCAAAATCTATCTGGCAATAGCTTATAGTCCTCTTAAAAAGGACTATAGATAATAGGTTTGCTTTTGATGTTGCAGGTATCCACACATTCAGATGCATGCGACCTGGGCCAGGTTGCACCCCAAATTTCTACAACTTCTACGAATCTGGTGAAATTCTGTTAAGCACACTATAGGTATGACTCTTCCTGACTTCATAGATAAAATTCTAATATTCAGCTAAGACTTAAACGATTCAGTAACATCTGATTGACCTAAGTCAAAAATGCTGGCACGAACTGCAAAGATATGCTCATTGATCAGCTATTGCTCAGAGCGCATCTAGGAAGACATATGCTCATGTAGCAGCAGTTCAATTCTCAGCATGTTGCCATAATTACATGCTTCGGTGTGTGTGCTTAATGACAAGAGGAATGAGAGCCTGAACTGCCTCAGAGAACTCCAGGCTATTGGTTCAAAGATCTACACTTTCCTAGGTCCTAAAGCTTTGATCATTTTTAGAAGATAGTACCTTTCCAAAAGATGTTCTCATTAACAGAATCTCTATTTCCTATCTTGGATAATTTGCTTTACTAAAAATCCACATTTGCTTATTTTCAAGACATATTCATTGGGTTATTTGGTTTTAGTTGCCTATTTAATTGTTGGGGAGGGGGACATTAAGTTGACAGGAGGCACCAATAATGAAGAGACTGTGAATAGAAAGGGGAAAACAAAATTGTGACACAGGTGCAGTTTGTTACAGAAAGCACTGTGGCCTCCCCAGTTTCCAATGTTTTCTGCTCAACATATGCTGAAAATCTCATTGCTCACAGAAACTCAATTTTCCTAAGCCTTGGGGTGTTCCTTCATTTGTTTAAAAAATATTCTTAGTAAAGAATCTGAGCCATTCATTTTTGATTTCTGAAGTGAATTTGCTGTCAAACTCATCAGATCCCTCTGTTGCATAGCCCCCTGCCCAATTCCTGTACCTAATTTTTATTCATAATTATGTCTTATTTTTAAAGATAATTTCAGGTCTCACAAAACCTGAATTTGTTCCCACTCATGCAGTTTAGTCTGGCAGGTTTTCCAAGGATCTGGCATTTACACAGAGCCCAAAGCCTTAAAATAAAGAGATGAAGTTGTCACAATTGAATTTCAGGTATAAAGCAATGAAAAACAGAATCCTTTCCAAGGTTTAAAACCAAATATTTCAGCTTCTTTTACATTGATATCTCAGTGAACTGAATTTACATGGGGGTCCTTTGAGTCATTCTCTCTTCTCTGTGGCATGGGTAGCTATCCTATATAATCCTATATAATAAAAGGCTAATATGCAAATTGTCCCCTCAATCAGCAGTTTGACCAGGGGCGGAGCTGGCTGGCCAACCACCCACGGCCCGTCCCCCCAGCCAGCCCAACTGGATTGGCCCCTATTGGGACGGGCCAGCTGAACCCCACCTGTGCACAAAATCATGCACCGGGCCTCTAGTATTATTATATTTGTGCAAAATTGTCAAAAAATAATAATAACTGCAATATTAGTTAGCTATTATTGAGCACTTGCTAAATGCCAGAGCCTTTGCTAAACTGTGGCTTCCACTACACAATTGAAATAAACTAACTGAAGAAATTCCCTGCAATATCAGAGATGAATTAGAAGGCAAAGAAGAATCCTTGTTTGGAGAAAGCTTTGGGATTCAAAAACACAAGGGTACAGATTTCTTTTTAGAGATATTGCAAAAAATAGGTATTATTTTTAGCCAAATTTTAAAATAACTATATTTAAATAAGTAACAAAATCTCTTTTTACCCTTTAAACTACATTTCAGGATATTAAATCCAAAGAATCACAGAACCTTCCAGTCAGAGGTCATTTTGGATTATCGATTTCAGTCTCTCATCTGTTTTGTGAAGATCCTCCTTCCACCCTGACAGAGACACCATCTAGCTTCCATTTTACTGTACGCATTTTGTTTTCAGCCAGTTCTGCCTCACTATAGCATAGAGTCAGCAAACTAATCCCTCGGGTCAAATTCTGCCCTGCTGTCTGTTTGCATCTGACCTGCAAGCTAAGAATGGGCATCACATTTTGTAAATGGTTGAGAAAAAGCAAAAAAAAGAATAATACTTAATGACACATGACAATTATACAAAATTCAGATTTAAATGTTTATAAATAAATAGTTATTAGGACACAGACATGCTCAAGTTTGTTTATTTACTGTGGCTGCTTTTATGCTACAATGGCCATGATGAGCAGTCGCAGCAGAGACTTCATGGCACACAAAGCCTAACATGTTTCCTGTCTGGCCCTTTGTAGAAAAAGTGTGCTGATTCATCAGGAACCACACAAGCAAATGTATTGTCTTTTCCTCTAATAGAACAACAAATATATTAAGCTATTTTTGCTTCTATCTTTTACAATTAGAAAATATCTTTAATCTGCCTTCACATTTTTTTCTTAATTGGAATAATAATAGATTTGCATTCAATTGTATGAAATAATATAAAAGATCCCTTGTATATTTTTTCAAGTTTTCCCAATGGTAACATTTTGAAAACCTATAGTATAATATGACAGTCAAAATATCGACAGTAATACCATCCATTGATCTTATTTAGACTTCCTCAGTTTTATTTGTACTTATTTGTGTGTGTATTTCATAAAATTTTTATGACCTGTGTATATCTATGTATGCAGCACCACAGTGAAGATACTAAACAGATTTTCCTAAATTCAATCTTTATTGTTCAGATTATTACAGTTGTTCCTCTATTTTCCCACCATAACTCCCCTCCACCCGGTTCCCACCTCACCCTCTGCCCTTACCACAAACCCCCACTATCATCATCCATAGGTGTACAATTTTTGTCCATTCTCTTCCCGCACCCCACACCCCTTTCCCCCCCAGAATTGTCAGTCCACTCCCTTTCTATGCCCCTGATTCTATTATATTCACCAGTTTATTCTGTTCATCAGATTTTTTATTCACATGGTTTTTAGATTCACTTGCTGATAGATATGTATTTGTTGTTCATAATTTTTATCTTTACCTTTTTCTTCTTCCTCTACTTAAAGGATACCTTTCAGCATTTCATATAATACTGGTTTGGTGATGATGAACTCCTTTAGCTTTTTCTTATCTGTGAAGATCTTTATCTGACCTTCAATTCTGAATGATAGCTTTGTTGCGTAAAGTAATCTTGGTTATAGGTTCTTGGTATTCATCACTTTGAATATTTCTTGCCACTCCCTTCTGGCCTGCATAGTTTCTATTGAGAAATCAGCTGACAGTCATATGGGTACTCCCTTGTAGGTAACTGATTGTTTTTCTCTTGCTGCTTTTAAGATTCTCTGTCTTTTGCTCTTGGCATTTTAATTATGATGTATCTTGGTGTGGTCCTCTTTGGATTCCTTTTGTTTGGGGTTCTCTGAGCTTCCTGGACTTGTAAGTCTATTTCTTTCACCAGGTAGGGGAAGTTTTCTGTCATTATTTCTTCAAATAGGTTTTCAATATCTTGCTCTCTCTCTTCTTCTGGTACCCCTATATTCGGATGTTGGTTTGCTTAATGTTGTCCCAGAGGCTCCTTACACTATCTTCATATTTTTGGATTCTTTTTTTGTTTTTTTCTGGTTGGTTGTTTTTTGCTTTTTTGTATTTCAAATCTTTGACTTGATTCTTGGGATCCTCTAGTCTGCTGTTGGAACTCTGTATAATATTCTTTATTTCAGTCAGTGTATGCTTAATTTCTAGTTGGTCCTTTTTCATATCCTCGAGGGTCTCACTAGATTTATGGAGGGTCTCACTGAATTTATCAGCGGTTTCTAGAAGATTCTTGAGTAACCTTATAACTGTAGTTTTGAACTCTATATCCAGTAGTTTGCTTTCCTCCATTTCTGTCATTTGTGACCTGTTTCTTTGTCTCCACATTTTGGCTGCTTCCCTGTGTTGATAGAGTGGCTTTCTGTGCTAGGTGTCCTATAGGGCCCAGTGGCTCAGCCTCCCCAATTACCTGAGGTGGACACTCTTGCTGCACCCCTTTGTGGGCTGTGTGAAAAATCTTGTTGTAATTAAGCCTTGATTGTAGTTGGTATCACTGGGAGGAATTGACCTCCAGGCCAATTGGCTATGAGAATCAGCTGTGTCTATGGTGGAAGAACTTCTGTGCTGGAGACACCCTTATGGGGAAAGACTTGCTTCAGTGGGGCTTTGGTGCTCACTGAGTCTGTCCCCTGAGTGTGTCCCTTATTGATCTGAGGAGTTGTAATCTGGATGGTCCCACTTTGACCACTAGGTACATGGCTCTTGGATCTCTAAGAGGGTGCTAATTTAGCCTCTGCCTAAGGCTACCCAGCAGGAGCTACAGAGATCTGAAGATTCCTCTTCTTTGTTTGGGGTTTGGAGGTGCCCAGATGAGGCCCAGCTGTGAAGCAATGCAAGCTGCTGTGGGGGCTTGGGCCTTCTCTTGGATGTTCTGGGTCTCTCTGACCCAGCTGCAGTTTGTTAAGTAATTGTAGATTTCAAAGGGCCAGGTCATTCATATGCAAAAGCCTCTGCCACTGCTTGGGCAGCCAAATTGAGGAGACAAATAAACATGACCCTAATTAAAGAACATAAGAAATTTTTAGGGAAAGGACTAAATAAATGAAATGGAGGCAAGCAAACTACCAGATACAGAGAACAAGACAATGGTTATACTAATAATGATGCTCAAGGAACGTAGTGACAACTTCAATAACATAAAAAACGCACACATAGAAACCATAATTAGAAATGAAGAATACAATATCTGAGATGAAGCATACACTTGTAGGAATCAACATCAGATTAGATGAAGCAGAGAATCAAATCAGTGATTTGTAAAGCAGGCTTCCAGCTTATGGCCTTTCAAGCCTGTTGGGAATAAGAATAGGATCCACATTGGGCTGCATACCCATTGTTATAGAAAGAGAAGCTTTGAGATAACTATTCTAATAGAATCATGATTCAATTATTTACCAGTGGTACTCAAACCCTCAGTTTTTTTCTGGATGGAATGATAATTTTGGCTTATTCTTTCTGTCATATATTTATAGGCAACCCCCAAAAGGCTATTGATAAAGGTTTCCAAAATACTCCCTTGGAGATTTATGACTTGGTGTGATTCACAATGAAGAAACATAGTCCATCCTACTTTCTTCTTATTATCTTCAAATCTCCAATGGCCCTGGCATCTAACGCCATATGATTCTTTGGATACATAGCTTCCAGACAATAACACTTTATTTCCACATATGTTTTCTTCACTCTCAAAATGAAGAGAGAGATAGAGAGAGAGAGAGAGAGAGAGAGAGAGAGAGACAATTTGAATTTATGAATTGGTTAACATCTGATACTATGTTGACTATTAATGAGAAGAGTGGAGTATCTTTTTAAAAAAAATTAATGGAAGCATCACTTGAGTTTCTGTATTTAGTAAAATACTGGTTTTAGGATTAAGATTATATAAATTATGCACGTTAAAGTTAAATATCAATTATAAAAAAAAAAAAAAAGGCCAAGGAGAAACCAAGATGGCAGCATAGGTAAACACCTGAAATTGCTGCCTCGCACAACCACTTCAAAAATACAACTAAAAGACAAAATGGAACCACAGTAAGGCTGGCTAAGAGGAAATTCTACAACTAGAAGGAAAGAGAAAAGCACACTGAGACTCAGAGGAGGTGTGGAAGTAAAGTGCAGAGGTATGGATGTGCACGTAGAAAGGGCTGGCAACTGAGGACAAGGTTATCTTTTTCAATCGGGAGGGAGACACAAGCTCTCGATGTCCATGGACTCCAGTTCAGGTCAAGTCTCTGGGGACCCAAACTCATACAAGGAGAAACTGGACTGTCTGGCAGCAGGTAGAACTCGAGGGCGGCTTTCTCTCAGAGGTGCTTGCAGCAATTACCTCGGGACACCAAGACCCAGGACCTCGTAGGGCAGGACTGAGGATCAGCCATAGCTGTTTGCTCTGCCCTGTTGATTCCCTGAGACCCCACCCCACCCAAACTGTGGCAGAGGCTTTTGCATATGAATGACCTGGCCCTTTGAAATCTACAATTACTTAACAAACTGCAGCTGGGTCAGAGAGACCCAGAACACCCAAGAGAAGGCCCAAGGCCCCACAGCAGCTTGCATTGCTTCACAGCTGGGCCTCATCTGGACACCTCCAAACCCCAAACAAAGAAGAAGAATCCCAGATCTCTCCATACCTCCTGCTGGGTAGCCTCATGCAGAGGCTAAATTAGCACCTCCTTAGAGATTCAAGTGCCAGTGTACCCATTGGTCAGAGTGAAACCATCCAGATTACAACTCCTCAGATCAATAAGGGACACACTCAGGGGACAGACTCAGTGAGCACCAAAGCCCCACTGAAGCAAGTCTTTCCCCATAAGGGTGTCTCCAGCACAGAAGTTCTTCCACCATAGACACAGCTGATTCTCATAGCCAATTGGCCTGGAGGTCAATTCCTCCCAGTGATACCAACTACAATCAAGGCTTAATTACAACAAGATTTTTCACACAGCCCACAAAGGGGTGCAGCAAGAGTGTCCACCTCAGGTAATTGGGGAGGCTGAGCCACTGGGCCCTATAGGACACCTAGCACAGAAAGCCACTCTATCAACACAGGGAAGCAGCCAAAATGCGGAGACAAAGAAACATGTCACAAATGACAGAAATGGAGGAAAGCAAACTACTGGATATAGAGTTCAAAACCACAGTTATATGGTTACTCAAGAATCTTCTAGAAACCACTGATAAATTTAGTGAGACCCTCTATAAGTCTAGTGAGACCCTCGAGGGTATGAAAAAGGACCAACTAGAAATTAAGCATACATTGACTAAAATAAAGACTATTATACAGAGATCCAATAGCAGACTAGAGGATCGCAAGTATCAACTCAAAGATCTGAAGTATGAAGAAGTAAAAAACACCCCACTGGAAAAGCAAAAAGAAAAAAGAACCCAAAAATATGAAGATAGTATAAGGAGCCTCTGGGACAACTTCAAGCAAACCAATATCCGAATTATAGGGGTGCCAGAAGAAGAGAGAGAGAGCAAGATATTGAAAACCTATTTGAAGAAATAATGACAGAAAACTTCCCCTACCTGGTGAAAGAAATAGACTTACAAGTCCAGGAAGCTCAGAGAACCCCAAACAAAAGGAATCCAAAGAGGACCACACCAAGATACATCATAATTAAAATGCCAAGAGCAGAAGACAAAGAGAGAATCTTAAAAGCAGCAAGAGAAAAACAATCAGTTACCTAGAAGGGAGTACCCATACGATTGTCATCTGATTTCTTAACAGAAACTATGCAGGCCAGAAGGGAGTGGCAAGAAATATTCAAAGTGATGAATATCAAGAACCTACAATCAAGATTACTTTACACAGCAAAGCTATCATTCAGAATTGAAGGTCAGATAAAGATCTTCACAGATAAGAAAAAGCTAAAGGAGTTCAACACCACCAAACCAATATTATATGAAATGCTGAAAGGTATTCTTTAAGAAGAGGAAGAAGAAGAAAAAGGTAAAGATAAATATTATGAACAACAAATACATGTCTATCAACAAGTGAATCTAAAAATCAAGTGAATAAAAAATCTGATGAACAGAATAAACTGGTAAATATAATAGAATCAGGGGCATAGAAAGGGAGTGGACTGACAATTCTCGGGGGGAAAGGGGTGTGAGGGGTGCTGGAAGAGATTGGACAAAAGTCATACACCTATGGATGAGGACAGTGTGGGGAGGGGGGATAAGGGCAGAGGGTGGGGTGGGAACCAGGTGGAGGGCAGCTATGGGGGGAAAATATAGGAACAACTCTAATAATCTGAACAATAAAGATTTTTTTAAAAAGCCAAGCTACAACCTGAACACCGGGCAGCCCCAAAATGATCTACAGTAGCACTTTGTCACATCTAATCTCAAATTTAATATATAATACATATTGTGTTTCATTATCTACATTATTAACTTTCTTATGGAAAAGACCATTTCATATTATTAACTAGCTTGCATCATTCTATCCAACCACAAATTCATTACTCTATAATAATAGCTAATATTGGTTGAACATTCAATAGGCACTGTTGTAAGTTCATTAGATAAATCAATAGGTAGATAAATAGATAAATAGAAATTGATAAATTGATTTAAAAATATACACATTTAAATATCACACCAACTCATAAAATAAGCATTAATTTATTTCAATTTTATGGAGAAAGAGGAAACTGAGCTATAGAGAGGGTAAATAATTTGTACAAAGTTACAGATTTAGTAAAAAGAAAACTTTATATTTAAACCCAAATACTACTGAGCCAGAGCCATGTTACAGAAGATAATCACTATCCTATACTGTCACAAGATTCCTTTAAATTACTCTTCTTTCCAACATCTCTCGCACTCCCATTTCTTTTTTTTTTATCAGTCAGACCATTTGAATAACAATTTTTCTTATTTACTTCACCATCTGCCCCCCAAAATACCTCAAACCCTGCTCCCCCCCAAAAAAACACACACACACAAACTTGTCCCTTTATTTCAAGCCTACCTCTATAAGTATCAATGATTCTACCATTTGTGGATATTGAACAATAGCTTCTATGGATACCATCTTAGTCCTGAAATAAATATAGACTGACAAGAAAATTGAATATAATAATAATTGGCTCAACACATTCTTTCCCTTTTTAACATTTTTCATTTCATATTCATAATAAAATCTGAGAATAACTCGGCTTTCCAATGATTTAATTAATACCTTTTCAACTAGGTAGTGAGGCAAAGAGCTTATGATTTTGTCAGTTCCTTTACTCATTTTTGTATTTCTACATAATAATCATACTGGAAAATTATTAACCCAGAGCTGAAAGATATAATTTTAGAGGATTTCAATATGAACTCATTAGATATTTATACAATTTTTAAGTTTTAAAAAGAGAAAACGTTTTTGTTTTGTTTTTAAGTAAAAGAATGTCTTATAGAACATCATACTTGTTACGGAACGAAGGAATTTGTTTGCCTGTGTGCATCAAAGCTCAGTCAACCATGAACAGAATTTTGCAGCCAAGAAAGTAAAGTGTTTAAGGAAATGGCAAGTTGATATAGATGGCTTCTTTCAGAAATGATATCTAAGGTCAAATGGTTTTGACTTCCCTCTCAAACATGTTGAAAAATCAATAGGATATTTATTTCAAATGCTTCGTGATAAAGTTGACATAGTTCAGCTACCTACACCTCACCCAACCCAAACCTTCACTACCCATCGTTGACTATATGGGCTTGCTTAATTCTTACTCATTTGTATTATAAACTCCACAGATGAGCAGATGTTCTTTAAGAAATAACTTCTAGCCCTAGCCAGTTTTGCTCAGTGAGCAGAGCGTCCAACCACGGGTCCCAGGTTCGAATCCAGTCAAGGGCACATAACTTGGTTGCTGGGCCCTGGTTGAGGGTTCATGCAGGAGGCAACCAATCCACGTGTCTCTCTCACATCAATATTTCTCTCTGTCTTTCCCTCTCTCACTCTATAAAAAAAAAAAATTTCTAGGCCTCACTTTTGAGGCGCAGTGGCGACTGCAGCCTGCATCTCCCCTGCTGTGGCATGCGGGGCTGGGTCCCTGGACTGTGTCCAGTTGTGCTCCAGTCTGGCCGGTGCCACCTGTCTCCATGATGCTCCCCAAGAAACAGGCTCAGGTTGGGAGGAGCAAAAAGGTGGAGCAGGAGAAAAAGGAGAAGATTATCAAAGACAAAACTTCTATGTTAAAGAACAAAAAAGGAGCAAAACAGAAGTTTATCAAGGCTGTCACTCATTACATTAAAAAGGTTTAGGTTGGGTGAGGTATAAAGGTGCTGCTGATCCCAAACCTGTGGTGTGTGTGTTCTTCAAGCAAGGACAGTGCACTGAAGGAGAATAGTGTAAGTTCTCCCATGACCTCACTCTGGAGACCAAGTGTGAGAACTGAAGTGTTTACATTGATGCAAGAGATGAAGAACTTCAAAAAGATACTATGGAAAATTGGGATGAGAAAAACTGGAAGAAGTAGTGAAGAAGAAGCATGGTGAAGCAGGAAATAAAAATAAAAAGATCCAATAGTGTGCAAGCATTTCCTTGAAGTGATTGAAAATAACAAATAAAACTGATTTGGGGTATGAAAACATTAAGCCAGTTTAGCAGGAATTGAAATTGACAGTATTATTATTTTTTCCACCTAGAATGCTTCAACAGGATGTTACCCATGCTGATTTTGGAGGGCTTACTCTCCTGCAAAAAAGGACTATTCTCCCCCCGTCTTGTCTTCTGGTTTTGGTTACATCTCATAGGAAGTGCAGAGTAGTAAACTGAAAGTATCTCATTTCAGAGAATGATTGATGGTTATAACTGTGTCCGCTCAAGTAGGAAGTGTCACTGCTTGCCAGCTTTTGATTTTCATTGGGCATGTGTTGCTACAAGAACAATATAAATTTAAATTTAAAAATACCCTTTACTTAACGCAGGTTTTAGGGGATGATTTTATTTCTTTTGTATTTACAGCTTTAAAAGACTGCCTACAACATGAGTGCTATACTTCGTAAAGGAAACTGCATATGCAGATTCAGTGTTGTATGTTTTTGGATGATTAGATGGACCTTTAAAATGAAACTTCTTTAATCTGGCAGGATCAGCTGCAATGCCCTGTGGTAAACGGTTTTAAACTTATTCCTCCTCTTTTATGCCAATAAAGTTGTAAATAAAGATCATCACACATTAAAATCCCCCCTAAAAAGGAGAAATAACTTCTACTCTTTCTAAATAACAGAACAGGCAAAACTCTTCTGACTTCCTCAACGCCCCCCCCCTCCCCCCGATTACTTTTGATAGAATTTGTGCTCTTGACAAGATGGCCTTGGCCACTAACTAGCCATGGCTATATCTCCATTTTTCTCCAGATCAGTCATTCTAAATTTTGGCAGCACATTGTTATCATGTCGGAAAGTTTTTAAAACTATTGATGCATGGGTTCCATTCCCAGAGATTCTGATTTAACAGGTCTGAAAGGGGCCTAAGCATTGGGATTTTTTAAAAGCTCCCCAGGTAATTCTAATGAGCAGCCAATATTGAGAATTCTACTGAGTTATGAACATTTGTTGAAGGAATCCAAACTCTAGATCTCTAAAAAGGCTGTGCTCACCTTTCAATATCATTCTCTCTTTCTCACTCCTGGTGTATTCTGAATTGAAAGAAAGCATACACTATTCACTGTGGCTATAAGGAAATATAGCTACCTTAAAAGAAAGAAAAAGTTGCAGGTTTTTGTTTTTTTTTTAATTCACAATTCCTCCTAAATAGAAAATGAATTCTTTTCTTTAAAAAAATGTTATTTTTTGCCCTGTCCAGTTTGGCTCATTTGGTTGAGTGTTTCCCAGTACAACAAATGGTTGTGGGTTTGATTCTCGTCCAGGGCACGTACCCAGGTTGGGGGTTCCATTCCCAGTTGGGGCTCAGAGCATGTGTGGGAGGCAACTGATAGACATTTCTCTCTCTCCATGTATGTCCCTGCCTCTCTATAAAAATCAATAAAAATAGATTTTTATTTTTTTATGAAAGATAAAACATAAGGCAGAATTAGAATGAGAAAACATAGAAAAAGATAATTAACTGCTTTGCATAATATAGTTAATATTTGCTCTTGCTGATGTAGAGAGATTGTTTTTACATAAAATACTTTTAGCTTTGAACAGGCAACCTAGAGAAAGTAAAGGTGCATGGGGAGGAGGCTTGGTTGCTGAATTTTTCTGCAATTTTGCTGGGGTGGAGGTTGTGAAACATGGAAAGAGATGGAGTGGTCAGGACTGAGACAAGAGAACAATAACTAGGAGAAAATACCTGAAAAAGAGAATAGGTCCTAGTAACATAGGTACAGATTAAGACCAAATATTCCCTGAGACAGTGTGTGATTATGTGTAGAAAGAGCAATTTCCCACTCTGTGCTAAAATTTCCTTCACCAACCCCCTCCCCCCCCCCAAATCTTTATTATAGATTTATTAACTACTAGCTTAGTAATGCTGTCTCTTCCCTCTGCTTTGGGGAATAAAGTCTACAGTTACATATTGAGGGGGGGAAGCTAATCCGAAAGGCTAAAGGAACATGTGGAGGTAGAGAGAGACGGCCAGAATAATCAGGAAGAAGACAGCCAAAACCAGGAATTTGGCACAAGAACCAACAAATAACCACCAACACATATAAGCACAATCTCCAGGAATTCTCAAAACTATTTAGGAGGAATATTAATTTCTTAGAATCTAAAATGTGATCAATATTCAAATTATTTCATTTAGGGATTAAGAAAAGTTTGTCCCACTCAAATTATTTATTCCTATCTCAACAGCCCCATAACCCTTGTGTGTGAGTGTGTGTGTTTGTGTGTGTGCGTTACATACCTTTGAGTCGATTCCAGCTTCTGGTGACCCTATGAATGAGTGATGTTCACAATATCCTGTCCTCAACAGCCCTGCTCTGCTTCTGCAGACACAGACTATAGCTTCTTCTATGGAGTCAATCCATTTCATACTTGGTCTTCCTCTTTTCCTGCTGCCTTCTTTCCACCCCGCCCCACCCGCTAGCATTATTGTCTTTTTCAATGAACCCTGCCTTCTCAGGATGTAACCAATGTACTAGTAGGACAGCTTCAGTTTTGCCTCCAATAATGTTTGGAGTGAATACACCACAAAGTCCAGGCAAGATTCTTGATGCTTTCATCTTATATAGAGAATAAGAGCTTAGCATCTACCCTCAGTGTAAGGAATTCCCGATTTTTAGATCACAGATATGACTTCCATGTACCTTGTAAAAAGTCCTGCGGGTGTCACAATATCTTTTTATCCAAAGTATAGTGGTCTCCTGTTTTTGTAAGTGAGATGGAAATCCTATCAAAAGAAGAAAATAACTCATAAATTGTCCAACATTAGGACAAGTACAGGGTGCTTAATAGTTTCTAAGTCTGTAGCAAGGGACATTTTATTGAATTACTAGTAGTTTGTGTTTAGATGAGATATTTTTTTCTTTAAGACCTTAAGATAAGATATGCTTAAATTCTCATTAGTGGCCAATCTTACTATACTCATGGGTTATTCTTGGAGATAGGCTGGCATTCACTTATTCTTAGAGAGTTTTTTCTTATAAAAATTCTGGTATAACTTTTAGTCCAGCAGCTCCAAAAATATATAAAACCCAAAAATAAATAAAATAGAAAAAAATACATAGGCAGTCTATGTAAGAACCATCTTGGTGGCTTATTAAAACTGCAAATGTTAGAGTCCCAACTACAATAGTGTAAAAGTGAGAAGCAAAATCTTTCTTTTTAGGAAAAACATGAAGGAATCAGATTTGAGAAATACTGGGTTATATGATAGACCCCTCCAAGAAGTTCTGGTGAGAAACATGAGGAAGCTATCCTTGGTGGGTGAGAAGTATAGGCAATGAGGCAAAGAGAGGCAGTTTTCAAAATCAGAGATACAGGCAAGAGTCAGATATAAATGGCTTTGTAGGCCATTGCAAGGGTTTGGATGTTATTCCAAGAGCAATAAAAGGTAATCAGAGAGTTCAAAACAAGGAGAAAAGGGGGGTGGTGCCTGCTTTGAGGAAATGAGTTATGGGTGGTCAAGAGAAATTTTGCTAAGAAGCTACAGCAGAATATAAGAAAGAGATGACAGTGCTTGGACTTGGGCATCTCTGACAAGAGCACATATTGGTTATTATATTTTGGTGCTCAGTGTTATCTCCACCTCCTTCTATCATCTCCCCTTTACTGTGGGTACTGCATACTGGGAACTATATTTTCCCAAGCCCCTCACCAACAAGCTTCTGGTTTAGACTCTGCCTGTTATATCCACTCACACAAGATTCAGAAGAACAAAAAGAGATTCATTCTTCCTCCAGTATGAGGCGGGCATCAGAGACTAATGGAGTGGTGGCAATGGCTTCATGTAGCTTCTAAAAATCCAAAGTCCACCATGAGTGTACTGCTTCACAGGTGCAACTTCAGCATCAGCTTCTCACAGTTTTCTAATTTCTAGACAGCCACCCCAATGCTTGCGTTTATTCCTCTATCCTCTCCAGTAATACTGCAGGTAGCTGGTTTTGTATTAAACCTTTCTGTTTGAAATACATAGGTTGATTTCTGTTTCCATGACTGAACTCTGACTGATGTAGTAGTTTTCTTTGCCCAGGAATAGTTCCAAGAAATAGTCCCTCAAATCTGGGAGTAATTATCTGTTCTGATTCTCTTTGAAGGTAGTGATGACCTCATCTCCAGGAGAAATTGGGATATTGGTCATACAGATCATTTAGACAAAGTGGCCATTAGGGTATAAGTGATGATTGCAAGTGCTCTGTGGACGAGTTACTTCTGGCTACATTCAAAGAATAACATACAGAAAATGATGAGTTAGGGCTTTAAATTCTCTGTTCAAGTTATAAGCAAAAAACTAGAGCATTTCAATGACTAACCTAAAACAATCTCTTATCTACAAGAGATAAGATGGCCCATATAGACAAAACCAAGGTTTGGAATTTTAAATATGTGGGTTTGAAAAATTGTAATTTAAATTTAAACTCTATTCAGAGCATTAATAGAACTCTAACTTGAAAATTTTAGTACTTAAAAAAACCAATCAAAACAAAAGGATTGGATAAGGAAAAATTTTATTAACTTAGAGGAATCTTATAGACTGAGACTCTAATTCCCACTGTGCTTCCTGGAGGAAGCAGCCTCTTCTTCCTTGATTGGGGGGACAAACCCTTCCTTATCTCATCTGAAACGATTGTCCTACAGAGTGTGACCAATCTCTTCAAGGTCCACCCATTGCCTCTGATTTTCTCCAGAATCATAATTAGTTCATGCCTCAGGATTAAACATACCTGGTCTCCCATAAGGACACACATTATACTCCAAAGTAACTATAAAATGTTGCTAATTATTGTTAACAAAACCATGGGAGGTATACTTAGAAATGGCTAGTGAAGAAAATACATATCACTGGGCTGTTTAAAGATATACTTGCCCTGGATCTATTGAATTAACTCAAGGAGTACAAGTTCCAATAGTTATTCAGGTGATTGACTGAAATCTCAACTCAAGTGTCCTACATGAAAGTTCACTTGTCAAAGAATGTATTAGTATATGTAAAGAAAAAGACCTCAAGGTTTGGGGAGAAGGGAATGTTGAAGTGGGTATATTCTCAAACTATGGTTCCTAGGAATTGCCAGAGGACTGCTTTCACCAATACATTGCAAGAGAAAAGCTCTAATACAGTGAATCTAGGAAAACTTCAGTACTTGCTGTGCTTTTTGGATGTCTAGAACTGTGAGATGATGCTATTAGAATGGGCCCTCTCATTTTACTAGGAATGTGGACCAAGAGTGGCAGCATCTAAATGCCTGAAACTAGGTTGGCAAGCCTGCCAAAATGGGTTCTAGGGTTGACATGGTAATCAAAATGTTTTCATCAGGGATCTTTGGTAGTGGTCAACTCATAATGACAAGATCTACTTAAGAATTCAACGAAAAAGCTCCAAGTCTTATAAATAGGAACCTGAGCTGAGTTATTAAAGTGTAAGATCTCAGCCTCTTACTTGGATCCTAGATCTCAGGTAGTTCACACACCTGAAGCTCCTTGAATGAAGGATTCTGAAAATATGCCAAAAATGTTTATTATAAAGCATCCTCCTAACCTTTCCCAAAGGATCCTGTAGACGTTTGCCAGGGTCACTATGCATAGAATAAGAGGAAAACACCCAAGCTTTGGGGGTGATTATAAGACATTGAATCTGGGCTAACACCATTGCTTGGGAATTCAAAATGCCTCTATGGTCCAAAAGTATTTACAGAAGTGATGTGACCCAGCTGGACCCAGTTGAGCTGTCAATCTGTCTCCTCCAAGTCTTTAAAAGTATCATTAATCTGTGTTTTGTCCAGATATGTAGTATTATATTTGTTTTTATAATTTTGATAGAAATAAATAATTTCAGAGCCATATTCTTGGTCCTATCTTCTACAACAGTCCTAATTTTTCTTGCTTTTAAACTTGGAAAATACCAGATCATTGAGAGAAACATCCTTATATACTTGACTCTTTAGTGTGTGAAAATAATTGTCATAGAAAATAGCAATAAACTACTTTAAGTTAATATAAAGACATTAATCACAACTGATGTTCCAATTGTGATCCCTTTGCGAGAGCAAATTTACATATCTATTTTTATTAAGTTTGCAAAGTTTGATCTGGCATGTGCCTCCTCGCCCTGATTGTAATGATTAAACATCATCTGGCAAAGGCAATGGTAAAACTTTATTCTTTTACTCTAGGAGTATTTCAAGTTCCTAATTAGCTGCCATAATCGATTACTCAGGGCAGCTGATCACAGCACCATCCCACAGGACATTATACTGGCCCATGACATTTATGACTTCATCCTGATCAGACCTGGTGAGCAGGAAACAGCAAATACCTTAAATGTGTTGACAAGACATATGCATGCCAGAAGGAAGAGATAAACCTTATAAAAATTTAGAAACCTGTCCTCTTTATGAGGTTCTAGAAGTTGAGTGTAACTTCAAGAACTTCAAGGAATGGCCATATATTTACTCCAAAATCGAAGATAAGTTCCTTTGCCTTGTATCTGCATAACTCAGGATGAGATGATGTTCCTGAGCTTTAGATTTTTTTATAGGGAGTGTGCACTACATCATAAAGTATGCTGCTTTTAAAGCATTTCACAAGCAGTTTTTATGTTAGGCACAATAATGGCCCTCCATAAATCACAGTATCCTCTGGAACCTGTGGATATATTACATTACTGGGCAAAGGGACTTTGGCCATATGATTAAGTTAAGGGCCTTAAGTGGGGGAGATTATTATGGATAATGCAGATGGGCCCAATCTAATCACATGGCTTCTTAAAAGCAGAGAGTCTTTCCCAGGTGTTGTAAGAGAGGAAGATGTGACTACCAAAAAATAAAGAGATGCATCAGTATTGGTTTTTGAAGATAGAGGAATGGGGTCACACAACAAGGAATGTGGGTGGCTTCTAGTAGCTGAAAAATGCAAGAAAATAGTTCTTCTCCTAGAACCATAAGACAAAAACACAGTTCTGCCAATTGATGTTGGATTTCTGACTTACAGAACAGTAAGAATGAACTTTTATTTTAGGCCACTAAGTTTGTGGTAATTTGTTACCACAATCAAGATAGAAAACTAATACAGAACTAGAGAAAAAAAAAGTTCTGAAATTCATAGTTATGGTGTAAGCTGCTTTCTTTCTTGGGATTTTGAACCCCACAGATTTAACAGTGTTTCAAATGTCTATGCAGACAGGAATGCTAATGGAATACCAGAGAATCCCTTATAAGAGAATCATGATGCAGACTCCCATATTTTTGAATTGCAACTACTGTTATTACACAAAAAACTTGGTGCCACTTTGCAAAAGAGCTCTTGGCCCTCCTAGTAGGCAGCACTCCATTCTCAACTGGAGTTAGATAAGTTTTGGAGTGTCTGAATGCTTGCCTTAAAGAATATCAGAAGCCCGTTGAACACTAAGTTATGGGACCAGTTGGGAGAACACTTGTGAATTTGAGGTGCTGTCCTACAGGATGCAAAATATGCTTTGAACATGATTTTGATCCTATAAAGAAAAATGTAGCTCTTTCTTTCAAATTCAGATTAATGAATCTGGAAACCAAGAAATGGAAGAGGATGGGGGTGATTTCTATGACTATTGCCTCTAATAAATCATTCAAATAAAATTTGTTCTTCATCATCAGAACTTTGGATGAAGAAAGCTTGATGCAGTTAATTGCCAAGAAAAGAATACTTTGATCAGGAAATATGGCAGTGTTATAACTGGGGGGAGGAAGGGAGAAGTGGTGCTCTTCTTGGTCAGAATGCTTCCTTTAGCTCTGCTGCCTGGCTTTCCCTTCTTTTTGCCCATATATCAGACTATGTCTATACTTCTAATCTAATAAAAGTGTAATATGCTAATTAGACCAGACATCCTTCTGGATGTCCTTCCAGATGACCTTCTGGACGAAGTCGGGACTATGAGGGAAGCTCGGGTCCTGGGTGCCTGCCAGTATGTGGGGGACGGAAGGCCTACTCTTACACAAATTTCGTGCATCAGGCCTCTAGTAATATATATATATATATATATATATATATATATATATATATATATATATATATATTGAAATTAGTGACAGATAAATACTAAATTTCTCTCTCTTAGTTTCTATTGCAAATTTTTAGGAAGGAAAGCATGTTTAAATGTGCCTATTGGGGTCAGATTATAATCCCAATCTGATTAGCAGATACCAGGGAGCTAGTGATCAAGGCTAGAGGCTTAAGAAAAAAAAGGGGGCCATCACTATCTATGTGAACCTCCCAAAATGTGCCTCAGTGCCCAGGAGGTCATGTTAGTTATCTCATTAAATATTTACATCAAATGCAATTGAGATGACAACTGAAGAATTCCTGTCCATTGAGTTATAAGTACAGTTGACTTTAGCCCCAACTACATGCTCTATGGAGGACCAATTTCTGCCATAAGATGTCAGTAAATTCCTAATAGGCTTATGTTCTCCATCTCCAGAGTCCTGCTTCTATATTCCTCTCTAACCCAAATATAAAGCTCAACAAATTCATTTCCACTGAAACAACACATAAACAAAAACTATCCACATATATCATGTGATACTAAGAGTTTAGAATGATAAAAAAAAAATCACATCAAAATGTCAACAAATCCCACTATAGTCTATCTCATAAGATTTTTAATAATGCCAACATTGGTCATTGAATTCATGTATCGCTGGCTTCTCTCTGGTCAATTTCCACTCTGAAACCGGAAAAATCTAAACAAAATCATTAAATTTACTAATATTGTACAAGTAACTCTCTCTTAGTTATATTGCTAGAAATTGAATCTCAAATTTAATATGTAAATCAAGTTTTTATCTTCCCACCCCAAACAGAAAATCTCCTTTTAAAAATATGTTAAGTATTAATTTATCAAATGATAATTTTATTAAAATGCTAAATTTTTATATAGATAATTGATCATGAGATATTGGAATGATTATCTCTGTATTAAAGAGGAGTAATTTGAGACCAAGCAATCCTATCTAATAAAAGAGAAACATGGTAATTAGTGAATGACCGCTACCCTTCCCATTGGCTAATCAGGGCGATATGCAAATTAACTGCTACCCAAGATGGCGGACGGCAGCCAGGCAGCTTGAAACTAACATGAGGCTTCCTTGCTTCAGTGACGGAAGAAACCAATGTTTCCTGCCTGCCTTGCCGGCCTCTGAGCCTGCACTTTGAAACATTGTAACAAAATGTTTCAAAATGTAGAAGCTAAACAAAACTCCAGAAACCTGCTTTCAGC